CTGTGCCGCTTATAATGAATAGTCACTCACTCATCAGTATCTCTCTGAAGCTAATCTCCAACTCGAGAGGCATTTTGATGACGTTATTAACACAATCGTTCTGACGAAAGGGTCTCGAGTGACATGTGACGCCCTTGCAGTCGGTTTGAATTCACACAAAATCTAATAAATGCAACAAAACAATGTTTTGAACATTCACGTGAAATCGACAGACCAACTCTGATGATTTGTCTCATAATTTTGGACACCAGAATAAAAATTTGTTTAACAAACGATCATTCTTTTTGTTGTAACTTTTCCCTATTTTCTACAAGGGGGGGACCACTTGCGGGTAGAACAGCCAGGTAATCAACAATCGTGTGTAGTGAAATTTCAATTTCATAGTGAAGCACATGAAAAATGCTGCCCTTATCAATAAGTCAAGTTTCTAATTTTAGTTGAGTATACTTTTTTCACGGTTCTAAAGGTCTTTTTAGATTATGAAAGATTGAATGAAACGAACATCGAAGATTTGCAGCGAACAATGTTTTCGAGTTTTTTTCCGGAAAAAAATGTTTTTGAAAGAGGTCGAACCTATAGAATGTTTCAGACTACAGATTATGGAAATCAATAACAATGTCAAATGCAAACACAAAGGACTTAGGCCCTTTATTTGAGAACTTCTGTCAGAAGGTCCAACACCAGATCCGCCACCATTCTCCTGTTCACACCATGCAATGATAACATTACATACCCATACACCAACAACAAACATGAAAATGAATATTGGCCCGGTCGCAGTGTCGCCACATGGTAGCTTATTCACAAGAGGTGTACCACACACACAAGCAACATTCCATAAACACAATAAAACTCGCAAACTTCACTTCAACATTACATCATCAAATGCGGTACCGTTGCCGGACAACTAAACCAGAGGTCAAACACTGCATTTGAAAGAAAATTACACTGGACCGTGTTCTCCCAATGAAGTCAACGGCTCCTTACTGGGAAGTTTACTGCTTAACCTTTAATGTACTGAACATGCCATAAATGCAAAATGTGAAGTGTACCATACAACATAGCAGGGAAAACAAATCCTCAGTTCAATGTGAACAGAAATACAGCTCCGTTATTTACATGTAAATCAAATTTATGATCGTACTGTACACACAAACTTATATTCCGTATTATCACGGCTCGACAGCCGAATAAACAAAAGTATTTACACAATAAACGTATTATAAAGACTCGTCGGCCTGCGACATCGTCGCATAATGACCTCTTCAAATCTGGATTGACAACCCAAGTAGGTGTATCCAATATAGGGATTTAGAGCATGTGAGGTGAGGCGAAATTGGGTTTAACGTCGTGCTTGAGAATATTTCGCTCATATGACGACGTGCATGCATGTGTATGTGTAGGTGCGGCTGCTTGTACTAGCCCAGACTTAAGCTGGCTTTATAGTGCTAGCCCACTGAGATACCACGCAGCAGTGAAGCATGAATACCCCACTCAGACACATTATACTGACTCCGAGCCAACCAGTCCTTGTTGTACCCATTAATGCCGAACGCCAGGCAGGGACCAACAAGTACCATATTTTAACGTCTTTTGGTATGACGCGGTCGGGGATCGAACCTGCGACCTTCCGCTCTCCGGAAGTGGACATAATAAGCGGATCAAATACAGTTTTTGTGTACAATATCTTGACACATTAATGAATATCTCAGCACAATTTCAAGACATTACGTGAACGTTTGCAGTCCATTCAGACTATTGACTTCAGTATCTAGTGTGACCACCACGAGCGGCAATAACTGCGGCACAGCGTCTATGCATGGAGTGCACCGATCGATTGATGAAGGCCATTGGCACCTGGAACCACACTCTGAGAAAGGCCTGTCGCAATAAATCGGCCTTGGTATGACATTATTCAGACTCCTCTGAATTTCATCCCAAAGATGTTCAATTGGGTTTAAATCAGGACTAAGGGCTGGCCACTGAATAATGTTGACACCGTTCTGCTGTAGGAAGTCCCGTGTAGCTCTGACAGTATGGGCCCGGGCGTTATCATGCTGGAAAATGTTGTTCCGGTGACGTGCGAAATGTGGTATGACGTGGGGTCTGAGAGCTTGGTCGATGTAGCGCACCGCTGTGATGCCGCCTCCTCTCCCTGGACCAAGATTCTGGAACACCACAGGATCCACTCTCTGGTTCAGGCATATTCCACCCCATACCATGATGCTTGCACCTCACCATGAGTCTCTTTCCATAACACATTGGTCTGAGGAACGCTGGCCACGTCGTCGCCATATTCTTGTTCTGCCATCTGCAGTTGATACGCTGTACCGACTCTCATCTGTGAGCAGAACAGTTCTCCATTACCTGTATCGCCAGTTTTGGTGTTGTACGGCAAACTGTAGACGTTCACGCCGATGACGAGGGGTGAAGATAGGTCCACGGTAAGGTCTACAGCAATGGAGGTTCCCGCTGTTAAGACGTCGGCGTACTGTACTGATTGGTCTTCCGTGTGTACCCACTGTCTGGCGTGCTGTTTCGGATGCCTGCATGAAGGCATTCTGATCATGCTGTCGCACAACATGGCGGTCTTGTCTTCTTGTGGTCACCCTTGGTCTGCCAGTACGGGGGCGATCATTTGTGGTGTTGGTGGCCGGAAACGTTGCTGCAGCCTGTAGATGGTCCGAACGTTGACCTGGAAGTGATTGGCAACGGCTTGTGCAGTGTGGCCAGCTTCAAGTCTTCCTAATGCCTGGTTTCTCTGAGCTGTCGCGAGTCGCGGCATCCTGCTGACGTTGTAATGTGAATGTTTAAACCAGGTTTGGGGGTGCATTTTATAGGGCTGCAGCATCAGTTGCGTTTTTGATACCATTTCTTGGGTTCCATTCTGAGTTTGGGAAGGAATGTCTTTGCTCAGGTAAAGTTGGAGATGTTGTAAAAAATATACGATCAAAACATTACATGAGTTTACAGTTATCTGTTTCTGCGACGGAAAATTCCAAACTGACGTTTCTTTTGTTGCTTAGTATATAATTCAATCATTTCTATTAAAAGTGGAAGTTTACAGGAATGTTTTTAATAGCCTGAAGACACGAAAGAGAGTCGGAAAAGAGGATATATTGTTCGTATTTAGGGTGTTTATTAATATATTTTAGGGCAGTTAATATGGCATTGGCTTCTGCTGTAAAAATAAAGCTGTTATCCGGTATTCTAGAAAATATTGTTCTGGATACAATGACAGTGGCACACGCAACTGCGCCACCATCCTTGGACCCATCTGTAAATAAGGATTTGTATGTATTATATTGATTTATAATTGATTAAATTCTTGTTTATATTGTTATTAATTTCTGATTTTTTAAATGATGTTAATGTTAGGTCGACTTCTGGCCGAACCAATTGCCAAGGAGGAGAAGAAAGAAGACGGGAAGGAGATATATTTTCCAGCTCGATGCCGGCAGCAGAAATGAATGGTTTAATTCTTAGCCCAAGAAACGGAACAAGTGAAGATTGATCCCCTTCCCACTTACAACTGGAAACGATCAAATGCCTTCAGTCATTTAATTTTTAGGGATTTGATATGCGGAAGAAAAGTTAAATGCGGCTTATATTTTCTACAGAAGTGTAGACAATTAGTTTTGGACATAGAAAGTACTGCCTTGTGGTACACCCTAATCCTGATTATAATGGTCAGACAGGGTTGATCCAACACGAACTTGAAATTGTCTGTCTGTTAAAAAATGTGGTAGCATTCCCACTGAATGTCCCTGTGAGGAGTGCCAAAGTTAAAGCGAAACCACTCGGACTTGAAATTGAGTGTCTGGTAAAACTGTGATATAAAAAGAGGTAAACGACCTCTCAATATTTTACAAAGTCATGTAAAAAATCCACGTGGTATCATATGCTTTCTCCAGATCAAAGAATATCGATACTGCATGTTGTTTGTTTACTAAAACATTTTAACAAAGGATTCTAATCGTAACAAATGACCAATGGTACTACGATTTTTACTGAAACCACATTGAATGTTTGTTATAAGGTTATTGGTTTCAAGATACCAAGTTAATCTATTGTTTACCATTCGTTCCATGGTTTTACAGACACCACTCGTTAAAGAGATTGGTCTGTAATTAGATGGATCAGTATGATCCCGGCCAGGCTTTGGTATAGGGACCTAATACACTGACCCATTGTATATCTTCTGTCATACAGTAATGCACAACTATGTTATAGAAGTTTGTCGTGACTAATATGTTACCCCAATATTTGATCATGTCAAATCATCATCAAAATTTGATCCATTTACACCATTCTTCTGCAATACTTGTTCAATACTATCTGCCTTTATGCGAACCCCACACTTGAGACGCATAACATTACATGTTGCCTACACCAAGTATGAGAGTGAGTGAGTGAGGTTTTAAGCAGCTTTTTGCAATATTCCAGCAATATCACGGCTGAGAAAACCGGAAATGTGGGGAATTGAACCCGGGTCTTCGGCGTGACGAACGAAGGCTTTAACCACTAGGCTGCGCCACCGCCCCATGGCCGCTATGACAGCTATATTGAAAATGTCATGTTTATCTAGTACTGGCAATGAGTATGAGGGTCGGAGAGTAATACAAGATACAGCTCTACAGACTTACGTGTGACTCTAGTTTGTATTATGTTACTACATTAACGTCATCGCTACCGAAACTGCACGAGTTGAACTCTGTGTAGTTGATAACGGTGCCTGTCATATATGTGACGAGCGGACGCTTTAGCCACGAGGCGATTTGATTAAGAAATGGTGATGTGTAGTTGTGATATAGACAAAATAACGCTTTTTTATTGGTCTGCAAGACGCTATTCAGGATATTTCCGTAATTGTTGTGTTTTGTTTTTAAATGATAAAGAATTACAATATGGCTCATGTGGGGGCCATATTGAAACTTGTTTGTGAAAATGCTTTCCCCAAAGAACATCCTACAAACTAATGAAGCCTTTTTCATTCCAGATCATGATATCTTGAACCTGGAACAAAATGTGAATCCACTCAAAATACCAAACATGCATACTAAGTTGCACGTGAATCCATCAGGTCAGGAGCATTGTTCTGAAATCTGAAAACTGAGCATGTCAATGTGGCACATAATACATTCAAAGGATTATGTTTTTTATACATCGAATGTAACTTTATTTCTAATCAAATATCTCCGGTCGTTCCGATTGTACTTTTACATGTAGGTTTGTCTGCACCAAGTATTCGTGATAAACGTCCACACCTGCATGTCTTTATTGCTGGAATACTGATAAATCCACTAACTCTGTGTATTTTCTCAATAATAACGGCAAACTCCAAATATTTCCAAAACAAGAATGGCTGTCGCTATGGTTACTCCGATTCCAGAAACCACAAAAACCAGGAACAAATTATCAATTTTGAAAATCCTCTGTTTCAATGGGGAACACTGCTTCTTTTCTGGTAGAACAAGATCCCTCCAGTAATCAACAAGGCCAAGTTCTACTAGGGACATTATCCTGAAAAAGACATGAAAATGGATGAACAGTTATCAAACTCTCCTCTGCTTTCTTTTTAATACAAAACACATTCAGGATAAGAGGAACCAACAAAAGGTGGCCCCCTTGAAACACCTGTATTAATTTTCTCAATTATAAAGGCAAGGTTCATATATGACCCAAGATATTCTGACCAATTTAAACAACAAAGGGAATGCAGCACTTACCGTTGATCTAAGAGTCCAGCAAGAGGTGAGTACTTAGGGATCACAAATGATAGATATCTCTGGAAAAAGGGATTATCTGTTGCCGCAATGTCACATCTATTAGCAGTGTATCCTCTGATGCGGATTGTGGTTGCTATGAGAGCATAGTCACCCTGTATCAGCCTGTCATAGTGGTACTTGAAATCTTCAGTAGGTGTCATGTTCTCACGTTGATGCTCTCGAATTTTCTGCCCTATTCGTCGGTAGAGAGGTAGATCGGAATCCTGAAATCGTTTTGACATTAAATAAAATGTTACGAATGCCTATTCCATGTATAAAGTGTTTCTGTACAAACATCATACAGGTGATTCTAAGAAGACATATATCGAAGTGGTGTACTAGGTTAAAGATTACATGTTTTATGTTACCTTAAATATTGCTTCTGCTACAACACCACTGCTAACACCCACGTCATATCCGCTTTCCAGCAGGTCGTCCAGCCCTGTGAAGGGGATGTCCTCTTTGGCAACAGACAGGTAGGCAGCAAAGTTCCCACAGTATACAGACGTGATGAGGATGCAAAATATCCACCAGAAACATAGCAAGGTACGCTGTGAGTCTGTGGCTGGTAATGTAGGCGATCCTGCACAGATAAATATTTAAAACCTGAATCCTGTCTTCAAGGTATGTAAAAGAAACCTAACTAATTTTTTATGTTTGTGTTTGTGCTTCAAAGAGTATAAAACAGATTGGGAACGAATATGTGAAAACTGATATGATATATATCATCATCATCATCATCATCATCATCACGCACATGCATAAGCACATGTTTATGAAGAAAATGTCATGTCCTTTCCATTCATATTGGAACAGCAGGTTGTACAAACCTTGTTTGAACGGCACACCAGAGTTCGTCATGATTGTGTCCAGGAATGTATTCCGATGGCTTTCCATAGGTATCCATACACTAACTCTCTTAAAGATGACTAGCAGAACACTGACCCCAACAAATACCACGAGTCCACACACATATGTCGGCCACTGAAAGCAGTCCAGTAGAACTGTCCGGTTTATCCGTGACTCTGGCTTCTTGTAGATGATATTGGTAGAAGAGATACCAAATTCGTGCAAAAAGGTAACGTACTGAGATATCTGATGGTCAAACTCATATTGAACTGGGCATAAATCAGCTGTCTGTAAGTAAACAACATTCGATAAATTTAATGTAAATTCGCAATGAAAGTATTACCAGCATTGAAAGCAAAATAGATACATGTTAAACTGTATATGTAACTTACACGTACGGATCGTTATAGTCGTGTTTTAAGGTATTGCATGTGGGATATTTACTTCTACAGACTAATATGTGCAATATGAACGTATACACTTCAAAATGTTAATGTGGTATTTGTATGTGCATCTCTACCGTTTGATAGAGACAATAGTGGCACTTGTGCAGAGCTTCCCTTTATTGAAAGACAACGCTACACAATGACGCTATATCCTTCTGGAGCAATGCGCAATTGTAAATAAAAAATACGACATCTAAGGAGTATTAACAAACAATAAGATAATGCTACCTATAGACAGGTGCAACAGCAATTTTAAAACTCTACTTTAATAATAACCTCCACTTTCACCACTGTATTCTTTAACTTAATCCATACACAGACATGTCCAGTTACAACACACAACTGTATTCAAGATGTATTTAAATTGACAATATTATAATCATTACCCCATCGATGAGCATTCTTATTATTCCATCCCACGTGCCATCCTCATGCTGCACGCCCCAGGATTTGTCCTCTGGTTCAATATACGTGTAACTGAAATATGAAACACACTCCTGACCAATCATTGGAAGTCAGCAAGGACGTGTGCATATACTGTGTTAATTTGTTTAAAGGGGTACATCATAAATACACCTTCATTTGCATTTCTTTTGCACAAAAATTTAAATATTTACCTGAAATTCATAGATCTAGAGAGGTAAGACAGGATGTAGTCACAAAATCCGGTATAGGTGAATGTTCCATTGACGATTTTCTTCTCACATGTTTCCCACTGCAACAAGGAAATCGCACATCGTATGGGCAATGTTTATATTTACAGGGCCTTTGGTAAATATATTTGGTAGTCAATAGGCATTGCATGCTGCCTACCTGAAGAACTGCAGCTTTCAAGAGTCTGCCATTCAATCCATGTTTTGTGTTTGGAAAGACTCGAGTAAGAATCTGTTCAGTGGGTGAACGTGAAACTTGCTGTAGATGTCGAGAACTGTTCTTCCACATCAGTGTGTAGAGCTGACACGGCAACTACCAAACAAGGAATTACATCTCGTGTGTCCATTTTATTATAGGTACATTTGTTTTAGTCAAAATCGTTCAAGTTATGGAATCGCAAAGAAATGACAATTCTGCCGTACACGTTGTAACGGAATAGCACATTGTCTAGTACAATGAAGTTGTCAAAAGCTTATGAGGAAGCTTTCAGAACAAACCATTTCCACTGGCATTCCCATTGCCTGTAATGTCGTCACAGCCACGTTGTCAAACAGAACATCGTCAAGTATCAGTGAGTCCACCTCTCCACGGGTCAGCACAATCAACCATTTCGAGAAGTGACGGAGAAGTGAGCCTGCTCCAAACTGTCGGTCAATCTGATGAGCCTGTGTAAACATTATCATGAAATCAACGCTTGTTCAATCAGTTAAGATAAAGTGTATAAAACTAACTAAATCATTATGTAACAGATGTATCAACTGTGGTTAAAAGGTCATCATTTCATTGAAGGACCTGCAACCAATTTGATTTGTATGCAGTTTTAAATAGTGACTTCGTAATTGTAATCCTGGGTTCCTGGCCCTCAGGAGCCTGCGACTAAAATGGTTCAAACATTCCTCGCCATCTTAAATGGAACGGAATCAAACCTGATATACCGGATAACGGGGATTGGCTCAAGGCTGAATGTTTTAAGCTAACTCAATATCTCATTTGATTACGATGAAACAATTCAATTGACCGACATTTTCTTAAATAGATGTGAAGTGACGTGTAGTTGAAATCGTATTCACGATTATTGCATGTGATTTTATATTTAGTTTTATGCTGCATTAAACAAGCCGAAAATGGAGTCAACAATTCAGAAAAGCATGTACTCATAGCGTTGCTTACTGCGCCGGAATAACAGTTTTGTTCGTAGTCGAACATTTGTTATACCAGAAATAAAGAGAGTAACAAGTCAACACTTTTGACCACATGTCGATTTTAATTTTACCTCGTTCAAAACTGAATATAGTCCATCAACATCTGAGAATATCAAGAAGTTGAATCCAAATCTACTGGTCGGCAGAACCGAAACTTGCTCAGTGTTCATCATTGATGTAATGGTTTTTGGAAAATCTTCGAAGTTCAAAATAACGGACAATCCTTCATCTGAGGTACATCGAATGATTGTATGCACCCTATTGTCTGAAATAAATCATTGTTAATATTTCAAATATCGTGTTTTAATATCTTGTAAAGGAATATGCTTCCTTTTTTTAAAAACTCACCACATGCATACATAGTATAGACCACTAAAATATACTAGGCGTCATTTATAAGGGGTAAAATGATTTATAGCACATGTAAAAAAACGTTTCCCAGAAATAATAGAAATAAGAGTGTCATCATAATGTTGAATGTGTTGACAAACGTGACACATCGTGACATGCAGACAAAAAGTTCAAACAGCACAAGCAAACATCAGTTGTGCAGACCAACACCCCAAAATGAAAATGATAAACACGAAGAACTCAGTCATTCAATATCTTGTGTACGCTCCTCGCGCGTCCAAAACACAGGTGCACCTTGTTCTCATGCTCCTTATCAAGTTCATAAAAAAGCTTGCAGAAACGCATTCAATTCCTCTACTAGAGCTCTGCAGAGTCCGGGGTGAACCAATGGTGCTGGGTGACGTGTGTACACACGTCGAGTGAGTTCATCCCAGGCATGCTGAAATGGGTTGAGGTCTGGTGAGCATGATGCCCACTCTACACCCTGCTGCCTGAGGGATTCCATGACAATCCTGACCCTGTGATGCCTAGCATTGTCATTTTACAGTAAAGAAGGTCGACCATAAAAGCTATGCATAGCTTGCGGGAATGGTACTGCTAAAGGTGCCAGAATATCATCCCGAGAACGCTGTCCTGTAAGATTACCGTCGACCACGTGCAGTGGAGTACGTCCAGTAGGAGTTATCCCTGCCCAAACCATGACCGCCCATCCCCCCCCTCCCCCCGCCAAATCGGCTATGTGTGGCAACAGTCGCATCTGTGATTCGCTCTCCATTGTGACGATACAACCTCTGCCGACCATCATGGAAGGACAAATTGAATCTGCTTTCATCTGTGAAGAGCACACGAGACCATTGACGTTGATTCCATGATGCCTACTCCATATCAGACGCACCTGCCTCTGACGTGGTGTTAGTGGTGGACGAACTGCAGGTCGCCTACAGTGGAGTCCGGCTGCCCTTAAACGTCGACGAACGGTGCTCCTGGATATCTTTACATTGTTAACATTGAAGTTTTCTGTCTGAAGATCCGCTGCGTTAAGGAATCTGTTACGTAACGCAGTGTTAATCTTGTACATACCATCTCGGACTGTTCTGACTGGGGCGACCTGGTCAACGTGCATATTCCACGGAACCATTGGCTTGAAATCTCTGCCACAGTCTACCAAGAGCACTCTGACTCACATTAAAGCGGATAGCAACCGGCCCCAGAGTTTGACCAGCTGCCAAAAGGGCTATAGCCTGACCGCTTTCGGTGTCAAAAAACGTCTCATTTAAAGCTGCGATTTCAAACAAGTACCTGAAAAGTGCATAAATGCATGTGTATTGTCCTCCACTTTCCAAGGAGAGAGCGACTTGCACGTTCAAATCACTGACATTAAGCGCCAGGTGGGTTTCTATATTGACAATTTGAACGGCCTGATGTGTTTTTCCATACTGTAAAGAAAGTAAAACATTCAGTTGTATATATTTCAAACAAAAACGAAGATTTTACAACTGTGTAAATAGTGTTACCAATAGCTTGACCCTTCATTAATGACGCCGAGTATATATTTTAAAGCTTTTTGCTGCTTCACTTGTTTAGAATAGTTTGTCGCAAACTGCTAAACCACGGTTCGAATTAGTACAACGGGTCAAGCACTTTCAAGCACTCACTACATGTGTACAGGTTGTAAAATCATCTATACTACCTTCTATTTCTTGCATAACAGCTATTACAGGGGACATTCCGATTTCCTTCTGAAAATCAGAGAAAGGCATCGCACGAGGATATGCACCAAATTCTTCTGGAAGATTTTCTGAAAAGGAATAGGTAACTGAGATACATTTTCACCAATACGTAGTTAAGTACTACCAAAAGTGAGTGAGTGAGTTAGTATTTAACGTCACATCGGCAATATCTCAGCCATATGGTGACGAAAACAATTTATACAATATAAATGACAACATTATAAAGAGTAAAATCTGTCGACGATGGACAGTAAAAATCCTAGAGTATCACAGATATGAATATAAAACTAGAATGTAAATCTAAAACATTTTAATTGAAGACAGTACAATATAAAACACGGGCCATAGATAGCCAACAACTGAAGGTAGATCACCATACTAGGAACCATGGGGACTTACAGTACATTTGCTTCCTGCATGGACCCTAGCTGGATTTACACCATCCTTTCAGCTATTGACAATTTTGGAAAATTTACATTAAAATAACATATATGCTACGATTAAAATTAGTGGTATGTTGAAATATTAACTTTGAACTATATTGGGACTTCCGTACCCGCTCAGGAGGACAATAATGTTACGCTACTTCAACCCCCTTTGAGGGTACAGTCACCCATAATCTCAGTTACTAATCCAAATTACCAATAATAACATAAACTCTGTCAAAAAAGAAACGCAACCCCTGTCCTCAGATATGAAAAATTCGTTTGAATGAAGTTATTGCTTCCAAACTAAATGTTATTCGAATGTATTGAAATTATACACGTAATTAATGAAGATTACCATCCAAACAACTGCATTTGTACGCATAAGTGTATTTTATTGCTTATTCCGTCACAACGCATGAAATGACCCTCATGGTGACTTCGCACAAAAAAAACACATGCAAATCATGAAAATGGCAGTTAATGTAGGGGTGTATAAAAGCCCATGTGCTTTCGTAATATATTCATTCATTTGTCGCATGAAAAGCTGTGTGAAAATGCCACGATTGAGTGCTGCCGACCGAAATATCGCCATTGGTCGTGTTCAAGCCGGAGAAAGTTTTGGAACTGTTGCACGGCACCTAAATGTTCACAAAACAACGATATCCCGACTTTGGAGCCGCTACAACAACTTCAATTTGACCAACGATCGCCCGAGAAGTGGAAGGCCAAGAATCACGACCCCCTTCAAGATCGGTACATCCGGGTCCATCACCTGCGTAATCGGCATGCCCTACCAACCGTGACTGCCACACAAATACCAGGTTTGAGGAGAGTGTCAGCTCAAACGATTAGGAACCGTCTGAAAGAAGCGGGTTTACGTGCCTGTAGACCAGTTGTTGGACCTGTACTACGCCCCTACATCTCCGCCGACGACTCAGGTGGTGCATCAACGTAAGGATATGGACTTTACAAAACTGGAGGCGCATCTGGTTTTCTGATGAATCCCGTTTTCTTTTGCAACATCACGACGGAAGAAAACGTGTATAGGAGACGTCATGAACGTTTTGCGCCCATCTGCGTCCGACAGGGGACAGATTTGGCGGAGAAAGCGTTATGGTTTGGGGATCCATCTCATACAACCAGAAATCAGACTTGGTGATCGTTGAAGGGAACCTGACAGCCCAACGTTACATCAACCACGTATTACAGCCTCACCTTCTCCCGATTATTGACCAACAGACACAGATTTTTCAACCAGACAACGCCCGGCCTCATACTGCACGTGCAACAATGAACTTTCTGCAGAATTCCAACGTCAATGTCTTGCCATAGCCCTCTAAATCACCAGACCTCAACCCTATTGAACACCTGTGGATACTCTGGGTCGACGCGTACGTCAACGTCAGCCGCCGCCACAGACGCTGCAACAGCTCGGCGTTGCACTGCAGGAGGAGTGGAAAGCCATTCCCCAGGAAAGAATCCGGCGTCTTATCCGTTCTTGTCCAAGGAGATGCCGTGCAGTGATTGCAGCTCGTGGTGCTCATACGAGATACTGAGAAAGACGCCCCCCTGGTGACAAACTGGTGTCTGTGAGATGACTTTTGAAATGACAATTTTAAACATGCCCATCTTGGTTATTATTCTGCCAAATTTCAGACTTCTGTCTTAAATAATAAAAATGCTGTGTCGTCTTAAAACTTCAGATCAAAATCTCTAAAATACAGGGGTTGCGTTTCTTTTTTGACAGAGTTTATATATCTATTTACAAACTATTGAACAAAATTTATCTAATAATTCTATTTCTTTTAAAAATTCAATAATTAAATGAAAATTAACAGTACTAAAAAGATCCTTAACAGTTTTTACAGTGAAATATTTATCCCTTGTGATGGAAAAATCAATACAGTCAAGCAGGACATGCTTGACCGTGATTCTTTCATCACAAGGAATGCAAAACGGAGGATCT